ATCTATCTATGTAGTTGTCTTACTTCTTCGTTAGATTGTTTGGTTGACTCTGCACCATAGACCTTGGTCTGCTCGCTAAGTCAAGTTTGTTGTATCCTTTTCTTAATAAACAACGTTATGATTAAAATAGCTGATTTTGCAACATATTTTGCAACTGAGTTACATTTTCTTTTATTATTACTTTTACAGCAGAGTTGCTCAACAGTTTCCTCAATTAAACTTAGTTCGAGGGTTGAGATTGTCCGAAATGGCTGTTCACCAAAAGTACGTGAGCCTACTGTATTAAGAGAACGTGTGGCCTTGAAGGTACCATTTTATGGACAAGCAAGTTTAGTTTACGGGAGACGTGTATCAGCAGCAGTTCGAAATAATTTTCCCTTGAAAGAAGTAAAGGTCGTGTATGTGACTGAGAAGTTAGGTAAGTGCTTTAATATAAAAGACAGAGTACCTACTCCACTTGAATCGGGAATTGTTTATAAAGTCACTTGCCCCGTATGTAATGAATTTTACATTGGAAAAACGTACCGACATTTTTGTAAAAGAACAGAAGAACATTTAAGTGATCAAGCAAAACCTATCGGAATCTTTGAACCCACACTCGTAACCCCGTCTCTTAAGGCAGTAAAACATAATACCCTTACACTAAGTGGAAAAGTGTCTAAAATGAAAAAGTCTTCTGGCAACACTAGTTGCTTTACACAACGAATAACGGAGTCACGTTGTGTTACCCGATCACAAACAGGCTGTTTGCCTAGACTTCGGACAACCTCAATCCTCGAACTAAGTATAATTGAGGAAACTGTTGAGCAACTCTGCTGTAAAAGTAAGGTGCGGGTAATTCAAAGTTTCAGCAGATGATATATCTGTTTGAAACATACATCAGTCGATAGCCCTCGAAGAGGTGATCCCAAATATCACCTTTGAAAAAATTCTAGGCCTTTCCTTCGTGGAGAAAACCTCGAAATACTTCGTTCTGGTCCAGTTTGCAAAAAATTCGATATTTAACATAAAATTTTGTTTATTTCTTCTCCCTTGCACTTTTAGTGAATAATAATAACATATTCGGATTCCTCACGTCGCAGTGAGTCTAGAAAAGTTATTTAGAGCGTGATCCGATATGACGCATCCACGCTAGAAATTCAGGCCCGCCCCGAGTCAACCCAAGTCGGTTTGACGTTCGTGGTAAAGACATCAAGTCTGTGGTCTTTATAGTTATAGTCTTCGTTCATATCTCATTCGAATCGCCATTTGACGGGCTACAAAAGTTGCTATTACTTTTGCTAACTTTCACCTCGTTGCTGAGAAACACCATCAACAACAAGGACGAAACGAGTAAAGGTGTGAAACAGTTGAAGAAAAGAATATCGAATTAATCACGAATTCTATGATCAAACCTTGATAAAATGAGATGAATATAGGTAAAGAAACATGTAGAATCCAATGCAATTGGTTTTAGAATTTTTCAAGATCTTCAAAGGATCTTCAGAAGATCTTTGGAGGGTCTTCGGTGGGTATTTCCGTATTTGTAGTAAGTTTTGACACAAATATAGCTCGTGCTTGACTACAGGTTCTAGAATAGAGCTCCATCTTTTGTCTGTCGTTATGAGTGGTTGTAGAAAAGCAGCAATTACTTGACTTATGAGTCAAGTTCTGAGATTTTTGGTTTTCTAGATTGTTTCTGAGTTTTTTGACTTCCTACGTTTTCTCGTACTTTTAATTATGCCAACGACAAGCCGCAAGCGAAGTTCCGGTCGTCAATCCATAAGCAAACGATGGTCAACAAGAAGTTTCTCTAGTCCTCCAGTGGTTCTTCCTTCTGAGACAGCATCAAGTGAAGAGGAAGGACCTGTGCCTATGGAAGATGATCAAATTAGCCATATTGATCTCAATCATATCTCTATTATGGGTGATCTCACTGATCTGTACTCTTTTTGTTGCCAAGAAACTAATACGCGGTCCCTCAGCACTCTCCTCTACATGACACTTCGGCCATTCGTGGCGTACGATTGATGGTTTTCTCAAAGATATTGGTGCTATGACAGCAAAAACATCTCACAAATGGGCTGATGTGCTCATAAATCAAGATTTCGACGAATTCACGTAAGTTTTTCTCGTAAGATGAAGAATCAGCTCCTAAGTGGTAACTTTTGTTGTTTTTAGCAATGATTCTCGTGGTGGAAAGCGAGGTGACAGCTTCTTCGATCTCTTTCCGGATCTGGAATTGGAAGCCCGTCAATTCGTGTTCGAGCAGTGCTCCAAGAAAGAAGCCTCGTTCACTGTGAGCCATCTTCGCTTAATAATGCTGCTTATTACAATCGAACAGGTTTAAAGAAAAGTCAGTATGATTAGAAATAGACGGCATGATTCTAGGGCGCAAATGCTTCTCTTTATTCAAGGTGATTTTAACAATTTACTATCCAAACTTCCAGGTCTTCGAAACTCTAAGATTCGCTCCGTTCGTACTGCTTTGGCTCTTTTTTTATGCAAGTTGAGATTAGGGATCAGCCA